GCCCCGAGACTCCAGAAGAAGAAGGCACCTCTTTTCATAGGAGGGTGACCGGAGCAAGCTGCCCGGCCGCCCAGCAGTCGCAGACTCTCTGGGTTCCTTCAAGATGAGGGCTGGGCCACGATCCTCACATGTGCGGGCGAGTGGCGGCACCTTCCTCGTGTCCTCAAGGTGCTGCAGGCACTGCACAGCCCATGCAGTAACTCATGCAGTATAATATTTGCTATAGAGCCCGGCCATGCTGAGTTCAACAGTAAATAAGCCATCGCCTGCAACATCGCCGTGGCCACAATGACCTGCAGCCAACACCTTTCCGTCTCTGTGAGCATCTGCTTCAGGCCCTACACGGAGTGTGCCAGGGCCCACATCAACTCTGCTGTGCTGCAGCCAGCTCCCCGGTGTGCCTGGCACTGTCACAGGTCATGCACCCCCAGCTTTGAGCCCACAGTGAGCACTGTGGATGATAAAGAGATACCAGCCCCCAGCGCCCTATGCCCAGGCTGTGCACCAGGCTACGCTGCTGCTATAGAAACGCCAAGTCTCAGCAACAACTACAAGCTGGACTTTCCCAGCATTAAGGAAGCAGACTAAAGTGGACCAAGAACCCCCTACCTCGGGCAGCAGCAGCCTTTTTGCACTGAAGCAAAATGCTGGCAGGCCTCTTGGAAGGGGCTGCTAGTCTGAAGTCTTACTGCTGATCTCATCCATCCATCACAGAATGGCACTGGGTCTGGAGTTCACGAGCCACCAGACGGAGAGAATCTCGCTCAAGTAACACGTCAGTAACCGGATGCAAACTGCTCTCATGTCCAACCACCAGGGTCAGGGGTACCTGGTGTAGCTCAGACAGAGCCCAGTAACAACACAGCAATGCTACCTTTGGGAATCCAGTGTATTTGTGGCAATCAACATGAGGACAGACTCCGAGACAATTTCTTCACAGACCCTGACAGTTGACATGGTCATATCCCTACAAGGCAAAAGCCTTTTTTAGAAGCCACATGGCCTGTTCTTTAAAATGTAGCAGTCTACTAAGTCCACTTCTGTGTGGAGGTCCACTGAGGGCTATTTGAAATGTCAATAAAATGTCAATTTGAGTCCAGTGACAATTTTTCCACTAAGACAGCAACAGTCCAGGCATAAATCTGTATGTATGTATGCGTTTGTGTGTGTGTAAGTACGTGCCTGTATATGTACACAACTATGCGTTGTGTGCATGCATGCAAATATTCACGCCCGAGTGTGCATGCAAGCCCGTGTGAGAGTGTGTTTGTCTGCATCATGCACTTCTTCAGGAACAGACCAGACAGCTGCTCAGGTGTTTGCAGTACAGCAGAAGCAGCTTTATAGTGAAGAGTACAGAACAGATCCAAGTTCCAGCTTCAACGTTTGCATGTTTGTATGGGGGCAAAAAACAGCAGAAAACAACCAAAAAATGTAAACGTTTGGTTCAAGTTTCTCCCTCCCCCCTACCCCCAAAGACATGGCAGGAATGAACATTTTGACTTTAATTTATTTTATTTAAACCTCGAGGATGAAAACTCCCCCCCACCCCCCTCCATAGTCCTTGTGTGCTGACCTCAGTGATAATAGAATATATATAGAATATAATGAACTGAAAATTATTTGCATAGATTAGAAACAGTAATTTCTTTCCTTATATTAAGACAATACGGAATGTTTCCTTTAATAAGAGTCTCCAGCTCCGCTCGCACTCCCAGTGCAGAGCGAGAGAGCGAGAGAGACAGAGAGAGAGAGAGAGAGGGGGAGGAGGGAAAGAGACAAGACTCTCCTGTCCTGGAAGAGCTGCAGAGGGGAGCCCGGCCACGCCTTCTCCCTTTGCCTGGGTCTGGCACAGCCCCGCCATTTCTTTTAACTCGTTTTGAGCAAAAGATGCTGTTGACTGGGGGGAGGGGGAAATAAAGCGCAGGAGCAGCCCGGCTACAGCCAGCGCACTGGTCGCCTGGGCGAGGACGCCAGCGCACTGGTCGCCTGGGCGAGGACGCCAGCGCACTGGTCGCCTGGGCGAGGACGCCAGCGCACTGGTCGCCTGGGCGAGGACGCTGAGGTCACCTTGCAGCCAGGGACCCTTTGCATCAGCGGTGGCCAGTCTAAAGACCGATGTGTCCCCCCCTGCCAGTGTCCCGGGGCTGGAGTTAGCGAGGCACCGGCCTAGAGACTTAGCTCCCCCGGGGACTTGCAGGAGATGGGCAACAGTCAGGCAGAGGGGGACCCTGGCCAGAGCCTTCGAAAACCAGAGCGTTCTCGCCCCGATCGCGGGGCCTGCTCTTCTGTTTTCCCTTCCCCCCCACCCCCCGGGTCTCTCTCTCTTCCGTGCGCCTCCTCTCCGTCACCCTGCTGATAAAGGAGTCGGAACCACCCCAGGCAGAGAGCAATCTCTCTCTCCTACTCTCTCGTTGTACTGTGCTTTTCTCTAATAACCCCACCCGAAAACAACACCCCGTCCCTGCCCTGTCCCGACCTTTCAAAAATATAGCATCATGCTAGCTGGATAGTAAGAGACCCC